GTGATCTTGGAGCCGGACGCCCACGCGTCCCGGGTGAGTTTAAGCCCCCGGGTCCGGGACTCGAACCACGGTCAACTACGTGGGAGTCCAGTGACATAGCCATTATGCTAACTTCTGGTCCCATTTTATTTATTTATTTTTAATTTGACTAGAGAGGGACAGAGTGTGAGAGAGAGAGAGAGAGGAAAAGTGAGAAAGCAGGGGCCAGCAGGTGGCATGGTGGTTAAGGTGTGGACACTCCCACATGGTTGACCAAGGTTTGAGTCCCGGACCTGGCGGCTTTCTTTGTTCCTTTCTCCCTCTCTCTCTCTGTCTCTCTCTGGTCAAATTAAAAAAAAAAAAAAAAAGAATGAAAAATAAAATAAATAATAATGAAAAAAAATAACCTGTTTAAAAAAAAAAAAAAAGAAAAGTGAGAAAGTGAGTCCCCAGGTCTGGAACTCGAACTGCGGTCAGCCATGTGGGAGTACAGCACCCTTAACCACCACACCACCTGCTGGCTCCACAAACCTAAAAAAAAAATTTTACGTTGTGGGGAAATGTAATTAAAGTATGTACTTTGGTGTAAAAATCTGAAATCCATGCATAGCTTTTCCTTTTTTTCTTTTTTTTTTTTTTTTTGCCATGGGGCCTGCATACTTGCCAGGGAGAGAAAATGAGAAATCACCCCCCAGCAGGGATGGCCACTCCACAGTCTTCTCCTCCATTCTCCTCCTGGGATTTTGGGTATGCATGCATGATTTTCAAACTCCCGAGTCTGAGACTTGAACCATGGTCAACCATGTAGGAGTGCAGTGCCACCTGCTGGCCCCCATGCACAGCTTTCTCAACACATTTCCCATAAGCTTTCTGAAGATCACTCAGAGTATTAGAGAGAAGTCTAGGGTGCACAAATACCTGGTTCATACTTGCTCTAAAGCACTACCAGGTTGGATTGCAATGGTGCACAGCTAGTTTCTCAATAATGACTTCAAGGCCAGGGACTATCTTACTCAGCTTTATGTTCCCAGGGATTAGCCAGTTCCTGGCAAACCGCTGGGACTCAGAACGTTTGCTAAGTGAATGAATGAAAGACCCAGTCAAGCTAGCTAGCTTCAGTGCTGCACTGCACAGCAGTTAACATCCAGCTCAGATGAGTTGAGAAACCACCGGACGGCTCAGCTGTCGGAAGAGACCTGGGTCTCCTGGGGCACGCTGGACGTGTCAGACGATCATGGAGTGGTTACATTCAAAAGAGGGGGAGGAAGGCCTACATACTAACTAATCCAGGTTTGGGTTGGAAAACAAGATTAAAGTTACTCATTAGCAGGTGGAAGGGTCAAAGGTCAAGGCAAGGGGGTTGGACGCAGGGTAGACTGAGCAGCCAGTGGGAAGACCAGCTAAGACACCAGTTACTCCACACACAACTCCAACTCCCTCCTGCCCGAGGATGTTCCACCAAATTTGGGCAGCTGTGCTCTACCTCTATGGCATTCTCCTCAACTCCATCTACCAGTGTCCTGAACACAGTCAACTGACATCTCTGGGAGCCGATGGGAAAGAGGTATGGACGGAGGTGGGGGAAGTCTACGGTGGAGGTTGAGGGATTTGGGTGGGCGGCCAGAGGCCATGTTGGGAACGCAAGGGAGTGTGTTTTGTTGAAAGCAAGAAGAAAACTATCAGTACTGTGGCCATCAATGTAGAGATGTGGCAAATTAGGGGTGAGGGGTGGTTATCCGGGTTCACTGGGGAGGGGCAAAGGAGAACGTCACTTAGTGAGTCCTTGTCATGGGTCCAACCCCGAGCTGGAAAGAAGGCAGCTAACACTTCCATCCCTAAGTTCTACTGTTCCGACTGAAAAGTTGGGTTGGGTCCTACAGTGGGACCCACCTCTTCTGCTCCCCTCATTGTCTCTCCAGTTCCCAGAGCCCCATTTGGGCCAGTGGTATTTTATCGCAGGGGCGGCTCCCACCAAGGAGGAGTTGGCGACTTTCGACCCTGTGGACAACATTATCTTCAGCATGGTCGCTGACTCCGTCCCGATGCAGCTGCAGCTTCGTGCTACCATCCGCATGTGAGTGGTGAGGACGCAGAGGCAATGGCGGGTGAGGTCCCTGCCCAGAGCATGAGCACTCATCCAGCAAAAGCTGGCCTCTTGGCTCTTGTAGGCACTATTCTTGGCCCACTGAACGCTGTAGAGCAATGGGCCTAACCATCCGAAGCTCTAAATCCAAAGGCTGCTGGGCTTTGAGATGGAGTCAGATGGACTAGGAGCTGGTGCTGCGTAGCGGGGGTGACTTCCCCATCTTTCCTCTTGCCACTACCCCCTCTGTAGGAAAAATGGGAACTGTGTGCCCCGGAAATGGATCTACCACCTGACTGAAGGGAGCTCAGATCTCAAAACTGAAGGTTGGTTCTCTCCAGTGCTCAGCACCTCCCAGCCCCCCAAGGTTGGTTTTACATCCCTGTCCTCATATGCACACTCACACCCTGCCCTGACAGGTCGCCCCGACATGAAGACAGAGCTCTTCTCCAGCTCATGCCCAGGTGGAATCATGCTGAAGGAGACAGGCCAGGGTTACCAGCGCTTTCTCTTCTACAGTGAGTGGGGATGCAAGGCAGGGTCAGAGGGAAATATGGGAGGGCAGAAAAGTCCCTCGCTCTGGGCCCTACATTATCCCAGGAGGGGCTGGGTGCTTCCATGAGGGCCTCACCAGGGGCAGTGTTGAGAAGCAGAGGCTTTGACTGGCCCTATCCTGCCCTTCCAGATCGTTCACCATACCCTCCCGAGAAGTGTGTGGAGGAATTCCAGTCCCTGACCTCCTGCCTGGACTCCAAAGCCTTCCTACTGACTCCTAGGAATCAAGGTGAGGGGTTAAAGTTGCACCAAAGAGGACTAGGACTCACCAGGTCTTCTGGGGGCGCTGTATGCAAGAGGCTCATGTGATGTCACCAGGAGGAACAGCTGAAGGCTGGCACCACTGGAGTAGCGACACTGACATCTACATCTGTCTTAAACTATGATGGTACCAGAGGGATGCGGTTAAGAGCTGTGGTGTTACCAGAGGGAACCAGGATGGACTCTGGGTTACTCCAAAGAGAAGCATGGTCCCTGGTACCAGATTGAGGGAGCCAGATCCCACATGGTCAACTGTGGGGTTTGAATCCCAGACTCAGAGGCTTGAAAAACATGCCGAGGGCCGGCC